AAGTCTCTCAATATCATCGTGGGCCATCACAATTTATCAAATCACAAGTTTCTTTGCTTAAATTCATTGTTATGGTGCAGCAATAGCAAAAAAAAAAGAGGGAACTACATAGACCATGATCCTTTGCTTCGTTTTTGGTGCAAACTACATGAAGAAATAACAGTTCTAAGCACTTTTAAATCTTAGTTCTTTGGATTAAGTCTTGTCAAAACATTTTAAGAAGAAAAAGTCGCATATTCACAGTTTTGTAAGCCTCCACAAAATATCGCAATAAATATCGTACTGTGAGATTTGGATATCGTTACATCCCAAGTAAGAATGCATGTTTTCTGAAGCAATTTAAACACCCAGAAAAATGCAAGATCATTTAGTTTAATGCCATACTGTGAACCATTCCAGGCAAAGCAATTACATTTCCACAGAGACAATCAAATGGTGAAACTACACACCAGAAAGGTTACATAATGCAGCTTTAAAATGCCGCCAGCAGAACTTTGAGCTTTGATAACTTGCTCAGAGCTATAAGACATTATTTTTATTATCTTTGAATCACTTTTATGGGTTTATAAACATGAGGCTTTACTTGTAGACCTACTTCAAACATTGTAACTGCTAAGGCGGCGGTAATGTTCAACAGTTTGAGTAATGATAACGTAATATAAAGCTATAAAGTGGTAGTAGTAGAGAGGCATTAACCGGTCTCGTTTTAGTGGCTGTAGTGAGATCATCAGAGCGATTCAGTGCCACTCAGCCGATCAATGGAGCCGGACGCCAATGGACACGTTCAGGTCTGAGCCGCAGTAAATAACACTAAACGCTGTGATTATAGCTCTAAACTCTGCTAATGCCGCGGGGCTTCCATTTCGCCAAGAGCTAAAGCTAGCATCAGGCTGGCAGAAGCAAAGGATCATGGGAGAGAGACAGAGTGTGCCTGACATGTAACACAAACAGACTTTTCTGACAGCTCATACAACCAATTACTGCAACTGATGCTGGAGGATTTGGCTTGCAGATCGCCATGGACGCTTTAAAATCCTGTGTCATCAGAAAGTTAAATAAAACTGGAATGGAGGTGACAAAGTGAAGCTGAATATATTTTTGATTAACAGATCTAAATGGTTTTACAACTACACACAATAACAAAAATAAACATTACTGACTTTCTTTTCCCTAAGAAGGATAGAAAAATACTCATTTCTAACCTCAAATTTGTCTTTGAGCTTAACAAAAAGTTAAATTAATGATGAAATGATGTGTAATTTATCTAGCCTGATTCATCAGCCGGTTTCACTTCGTGGAAACTGTCTGACCTCGCAGCATTAGGATTTGTTCGCTCGATGGTAGGCGGGTACTTTTTTTATTTAACCAATCGCTGCTATTTGGTTGTGACGTATGTAATGCGCCAAATCCCGTAGGAAGAAGGGCAATAACAGCTTTCTCCCTGATAAAATTCACCAAGCATTCTCGTTGTTCCGGCTTTAAATCCTCGATCTTGGGAATCGTTGCCAACACAGAATATATGGCTCTTCACTTATTGGCCCATGCGCGGTCTACAACTTCCAGGGTTCTTGCAAACTGTCTATTGTATTTTGATTCCTGACCTTGTCGCTGGAGAGAAATGAAACTGAGCAGAGGTACAAGGTGGCACCAGCCTGGCTATAATATATCTGTAGATGAAGTGAAAACTGTGGTAGACTCAACATTTTTGTAGGGATTTGTCCAGTAAAACCTACAAATATGGATGTTTCCTTTGTTAAAAATGCTCAGTGTTTATCATGATCTCTTCTTAAATGAACAAATAATAAAACACAATTGTAAATGTTCTTAAACTGTGCTCTGGTATCACTCACATGTATCTAAGAGGTTTTCATTTGCCAAATTTTCTTAGTATTTTCATATTTTGTGATATTCTGAAGTTAATTCCCACTGAAATCACTTTAGGTTCCGCTTCACTTTTGCCTCCAGTTGCCTCCACTCTGGAATTTACAATGTTTTTGTTTACACATTTTTAAAGGGTCTATATGTTTGACCACCCATTAGCCTCTGATCCTGCACATCGACTGATTACACAAGTTTAAAGCTGCATTGTAGAGCTGTAAGTAACAATTATTTTAATAGCAGACTAGTTCTTAATTTCTCTGATTAATCATTACAGCCTGTCTGATTTGTTTGTTGTCAGTGCGTAGGGAAATAGTACAAGGGGCTTTGTTTCTATCCAATTAGCACAAGCAGTAAAGGTTAACTTAACTCAAAATGAAAGTCAGAAAATTTGAGACACTGTGATGCTGAATGTCAACAAGGCACAAAACACCGACTATACTGATGATATATTTTTTTTTAAGTCTGTTTCTCTGGGTCTTCTCCAGAGCAGTCACTCAAGGTTACGCTTCTCGACAGTTTCTTTGACAATAATGAGGATTAACTTACTGAACAACAAATAGTTTTCACAGGCATTTCACTAATAATTTGTAAAACGTGAGATGTTATCCACAAGAACATCAAATCCAACGCCTGTGTGAAGTATGTGTAAAAAGAAAATGAAATTGTTGCGCCTAAAAGTGAAGATTTCTGTTTGTAACTGATTAATATTTGTGACTGAAATGAAACGTATTGATTTGAAATGTTTTAAAGTAACTATAAGTGTTTATGTATTGTCTGGAAAAGGGACAACGGCTCATTTTCATTCATTTCTTGTACGTTTAATGTGACACTATCAATGTCTTTTTATACTTTATGAATGAAATAAACACATTTTTTTAAAAGTGTGAAGGAAGTGATCTTATTAGCATCCACGATTCAACTCGAAATCCTTAATCCTTGAGTGGATTAACTTCATTACCACACACACACACATTCAGGGCGTTTTTTTTTTTTTTTTTTTTTTATATATATATATTTACTGTTGTATTCATCAGAACAGGACATGCAGAAATCACCCCCAAGCGTGCCGCTCCCTCAACCCAATCCTCTTTTTTTAATGGGCTTACGGGCTGAAAGATCTGTGCCACCTAAAAAAGATAAACTATTACACAACGGGCTTCCAAAATAGACACATGTAAGACCACAATCTCCCAGTCTAGAGGGTACGAGACGGGAAGCAAGAAGGTCATTAAAGGGCTCATATTAAGCCGTTTTCTGATGTGACAATGTTGTTTCCTCATCACAGACAGACCTGGAGTTGTGTTTTGTTTCATTCACACATGTTTAACACACAAACCCTGCAGATTTTTAGGCTCTTAGTTCTTCTCTCAAAAGGTAAACACTCTGCACATTGTGTTTTTAAATGCCAAACACCTTCACTAGATTCATTTGGATGATTTCAGACCTGGAATTGCCAAACTCTACTGAACAAAAAGTAGCTGTAAACTTGAAAACCATCGCTTCATGACATCCCAACGTGGAACAGAGCACGTGTGAATGAAACAAAACACAACTCCAGGTTTGTTTTTGATGCGGTAACAACATTATAACTTGACTTAAAGCTCTCAATTTTGCGTAATGTAGGACCTTTAAGTACACAACATATTAATGACAGCTCAGTGATTTGAAGTAGGATGTTCGTATAGTGACTTCAAACTGAACTGGAATTGGAACTGACTGAATAAAAAAAACATCCGACTGAGGCAAAAATATCAGCATTTTGGAGGAAGTTAAAGTGACTAAGTATCTGTCAACTTTTCCATTGCTCTCAAAATAACAAGTGGCTTGAAACTGCAGCTTAAATGTATTTTAGTTGTCTCATAAACAGCAATGAATGAACACAATTTCCTTTACAAAAACACTAAATCAGAACTTCATTTCTTCATTATTGTCTACAGTGATGGGAAGAATACTTGGAAAGAAAGATGTATTTATTTACAGAATATTGAATACCTGCATTAAAATGTATTTTTTAACATATTTGGATACTTGGTCCAATCAGAGTACTGTATTCTGAATACTTAGAATACTTTTACATCGAGTGAAAAGATGCAACATAGGATTAAAAACAGCTTCATATTTGTTTCACCTTTTGTTGTGTGTTTATTTATCAGGGAGTAGAGAAGGAAAAATAACACATGCACTCACCACAAGAGCAACGTTTTCTGTTTTTCTCATAGAGCGATCATGTCCTTTAATTTTAGAAAAGTAACACCAGTGAAAGTGAAAAAGTAACTCTACCTGAGCAGAGTTACTGTTGTTACTTCACAATATTGATCATTTATAGTCAAGATGATGAGAAAATCTTCCTAGGATCAGTTTCACTTCTCATACGAACACCGAAAACAATGTAAATTCACAAGTCTGATCAAGTTAAAATTCCTGCAGCAGTTATGGCTAATGTTTATGAGAGCAGACGACAATCACGTTTGACCCACATTTTGGAGGTTCTCAAATTTCACCCCAACTGTCTGACTTCACGTTTCTTCTATGTGCCTTCTCCATCCACCAACAAGGCAGCTGTGTTCAGGGACTCCTCCTGATCACCAGTAAATCAGCATTATTAAAACCTGTTAATGTTTAACAATGAAAGTCTGTGCTCAAGTAGAGTTGGAGATAGGGGGATTGCGTATATTTTTTTATTATGAAGGATTTGGTGCGTTGAGAAGTTAGTTATTCACAGTTTATAGTAGGGCAGATGTCTCAAGGGATGTGTTGACTCAAACTAGGATAAAGGCTGCTCTAAAACAATAAATAAAACACCATAATAGCCTACTGTTTTTCAAGGAAGACACGCGCAAGGAGTTTAATCTCGAAAAATGATCACAAACCAAAATTACGCGTAAGGATTTCAATTACAATGTTGTACTTTTGAGACCTAAAAGTGTAATATCCTAACGACACGTGAACTGTGAAAACATGTGGAGAAGTTAGTCAGGATAGTCGATTTGCTAACAACAAAGAATGAGGCGTGATGGTCACACAGCTGTCCCATCCCAGGACAGTGAACCATGCCCCGCCACGACAAAAAAAAAAAAAAAAAACATCATTCAAAATGAAACAAGCATCTAAATTCTTACCAAGACGATTGCGAATCTCTCTTCTAGCTCTCCCGGGTCTGGCATGGGTAATTTCAGGGGCATATTGTGTCCCCTTAAGTCCGTATGCTGATCCATGCTGCCTGCGTTCCCCATGGCTGCTCACGTCGCTTTAACCAACCACAAGTTTTCAAAAGCTACAACTTGAGAGAAGAACTGGCAGTCAAAAAGCGACTAGAAATATCCGATTTGCGTGGTTCTCCTTTGGCTTTCCCGTCAGTGGCGCTGGTAGTTAATCCTGGTCACTTCTTCTTCAACATAAAGCACACGTGAGCCAAGACGCGGCAGTTCGCTTCTAGTCTCCGACGGCGCATTTCTTTTCGTAAATCTGAAGGAGCTGGAGTTTAAAAAAAACTTGGGGCAATCCGTGGACCTGTACGCGCAGACAGTTAGTTATCCGTATCTTGCACAATTTCGGCTCCACTCCCAGTCGGTAGCAATGACGACGGGCATGATTCACGCTGAGCAGTCCTCCTCCGAGTGCGCGTGGCTGTGTGCGTGCGCGCAGAGGCGACAGGGCAACACTCCGCTAATCCCTGCGCCGCTGACCAGCTAGTTAAAGCGGATGGGGGTCCTCTCTGTCCCAGCCCTCCCCACAATGAGCTCTTTGAGGGGGTAAAGGCTGCTTCTTCTTCTCCTTCTCCTCGGGGCGTAGCAGCTCCCTCCCCAACGCCGTAGCTAAGGAGACGAGGCTGGCTGTCCGTGTGTGTGTGTGTGTGTGTGTGTGTGTGTGTGTGTGTGTGTGTGTGTGTGTGTGTGTGTGTGTGTGTGTGTGTGTGTGTTGTGTTGCATTGTGGTACTTTGAGTTTGTTGTGAAAGGGGGGTGCCTCGCGAGGGCCCCTGTCCTGTGCCCCAACTGCTACCTCATCAGAATTGGGAAATAGAGTGAGTAATTGGTTGAGTTAATTCAGAATAGTTGAGCAAGTTGCATGTTTGGAAGGATAAATAACAAAAATCAAATGCCTGATCAAGTTTGGTCAGGTATCAAGGTCCTATATTACGCAAATTGAGCTTTAAGCCATGTTATAATGCTGTTACCTCTTTAAGAAACATACCCAGAGTTTGGATAATCCTTTATTATTACTCTGTTGACATCTCCAAAGCTCAAAACACTCTGTTGCTCCACATGAAGTGATCGTTTTCAAGCTACATTTGATCTTTAATTGAGTAGAAACTGGCTATTCTTGACCTAAAATCATCCAAATTATTCTAGTGAAGGTGTGTAAGAGTTTAAAAACACTTCCTATATCACAACATGACATCACAAGGTGGAACAGAGTGTTTTCTGTTTGACACAACACAAACACAACTCCAGGTCTGTTTTTGATGAGGAAACAACATTCTAACAGATCAGAAAACAGTGTAATACGGGTCATTTATATATAGTCCTTTTTATTGTTAATCGCTATGACAACAATGCTACTTTTGCATCATTCTGAAACCAGTGGGGAGTAGTTCTGTCGTGTTATTGGGTACAAAGTCAACCCGCAGGTGTAAATAGAGTGACTGTAAATACATGTTATAACGTCATCATTTTACAGAGGCCTGTGAACTCTAAGTGAAAGTTGATCTGGTCTGAGCCTTTGTCTCCCATGGACTTTAGCCTATTCATTCAACTGTGTAAAAAAGCAATTAGAAACTAAGTAAAAGTAGTAGTAGAAATACTGTACTTGAGTAAAAATTGTTGGTATCTGTACTTAGAGTAGATTTTTAAGATTTTATCAATCATTAAATCAATAAATCAGTCAGCACCTTTATTAATCCCAAAGGGCAATTCAATTCACACATTTCTGGCTGTGTACAATCTATAAACAATAATTTAATACTATAATTACTAATAATGATTTACTTTATTGTTTGTATTTATTTATTTATTTATTTTTATTTATTTATTTTATTATTTTTATCTATTTATTTTTATCAATTTATTATCTGTATTTATTTATTTATTTATTTATTTTTATTATTTTTATCTATTTATTTTATCTATTTATTATTTTTATTTATTTATTTATTTATTTTTTTTTTTTTTTTTTTTTCTTTTTTTTTTTTTTTTTTCCTTTTTAACTTTTTAACTTTTACTTGAGAGCAGGTATTTGTACTTTTTACTTCATTATATGTTTGAACTGGACTGAAAAGTAAAAGTATTTTGTATTATTGTTTGAGACCTGCTGAAAACGCTGGCAACTAAAATACACAAATAAAAACTGCAAAAAAAAAAAAAAAAAAAAAAAAAAAAACATCACCACATTTGAAACTTTATAAAATCTGCATTAAAAACTTTTACTTTTTACTCTTACAATACATTTTAAAGTTTTTTTTTAGATTTTTTTCATGTGATACTTTTATTGGTTAAGTATTTTTGCTCTGGTATCTTTCCATGTATGTTCAGCTGGAATGTTTCACGGTAAGGCATTAAACTTATCTACTTTTCTTGCTGTGGAACATACCAAGCAAAATGATAACATCTCCTTAAAGACAAAAAAAAAAAGGCACACCTTCCACCAGCAAAGTAAGAAAACTGACTACGTCTTCCATCTTTGATTTTGTGTACTAACTGTCCATCTTTTTGACAAAGTTACCCAAAGTAAACAAAACAAAACTACTTTTCACAGAGCTCCGTGTCACCACCGCACCCTTTTGTTCACTGAATAAAAATAAAACCCAAGTATAACAATATATTCTCTTCTTAATTGTCACATAACTGAAAACAAGCCGTATTCCCAGCGCACCACAGCATCCTCCCATGATTTGTTGTTGGAGATTCTCAGTACGAAATCCGAGCCGTGGGCTGGGTGGAGACCAGATTACGCACAACAGGCAACACAGCAGGCTGACATCATGAAGCGCTGCCCTGGAGATGATCTGAGGTCTTCCAGATGCACAAAGATCTGATTCAGAGCCTCGGCCAATCGGAGGGGAGGGTCTGGGGTCAGCTGATTGGCCAGACAGAGGCACAAGACCGGAGTAGAGGGAGAAGTACTCGATTTGTAACTAAAAGCACAGATACTGAAGCAAGTAAAAGTATCACATGAAAAAAATCGATTAAAGTACCCATTTAAGGTGCATTGTGTGAGTTTTTTGGAGGATTTAGGATCCGTCAGATGCTTTAAACCGTGGAGATGTTACTGCTTTGTCACAGTTAAACCTTTCTATCTTCATGGAGACAAAACCAGGCCAAGTTACAGGTCAGATCTGTGGAGAGGTGACCCCTTTCACAGTCAGAATGCTTGTTTTTCTAGGTACTTTCGAGCTGTAAAACCACGTGTAATTGAATAAATGTAAAGCAGAGCAGTTTAATGTCATACTGTGGAAGATTCCAGGTAGACGTCGCCATAGAAACAAGCAGGTGACAGACCCTAGGCCAGAAAAGTTACACAATGCACGTCTGTTCTGCAGGTCTGTTCTGTTTTGTGCAACACTTGAAGCTTAACCAGAGCGTTTTGCCTGCAGGTACATTTGGCACACGTCTAAATACTATCAAGATAACCCCAAAGTAACTCAAATACTCGCCTTTTCAGTATCATCCACGCAGATAAGAGCACATCTGCTGACACAAAAAGAATAAAAATAGGCTAGATGTTAAAGTGCCCATGTCAGATTGGACCACATGTCGTTAAATTTAAGATTTTAGAAAATATTTTACACTTTCTGTCCCTGTTTGGTCAATTTTTAGGTTTCAGATTTTACCTCTTGGATTGGATTTCCATAGCGGTTGTTACGTTTGAGCATTGCTACGTTTTTGTTTTCCCCTGGGATTTTGTCATCTATTTTTTGTAGTGTTTTTATTTTGTAAGTTATTCTTATGTTCTCTTTCTTTGTTGCTTTGTTTTGTTATTTTTGGGCACCGGTTAAAGGTTTTCTTTTTAGTTCCAGCATACAAAGTTAGACGTAAAATAAATCTTTAATCCTTAACGTTGTCTCAGTTTCTTTCGTAAGTATGTTTGGATCCTTTGGTCAAAACAACGGTTACCTCGCAACCATGATGTAGATAGCATAACGCCTCTAATGTAAACAGAGACGATTATTTGACAAATACAATCATAAGAAAACACCTTTATTTGCTGCCAACCTCCTGTCTCCTCCCACCAGGACTAAACACAAGACCTGGGAGGACCTGGGAGGACCTGGGAGGACAGGACAGGACCTTCTCCAGGCCCGAACACACACACGATCTTCAAAAAAGCCCTTCAAAACTGCTTTCAACTTGAAATAACTGCATCTCTGGTTTATCTGTTTCTTTCATTAATGTTTGTGTCTGTCTTGATCTATGTGAAGCATCTTTGAGTGTCATTAAAAGCGATATACAAGTGTTATGTGTTGTTGTTGTTGTTTTGTAAGTATAAATTGTGCCTACATTTCGGACAGACCTCTCTCTATTGCAGGGGTCTCCAACCTTTTTTCTCCCGTGCGCTTCTTTTTGTAAAACGAAAATACCAGAGAGCTGCTCACTTTAGGGTTTGCAAGAAAAGGAAGAAATATAAGAGCCACGATGAGCTTCAGACGGGGTATAGTTAAGGCCTATAAAACATAAACAATTATCCAGTTACCAGTTCACAAAAGTTAGGCATCAAAATTATACATTTGCACTGGAAATAGTAATTTAATCAGTCAAATTTTACTTATTCAGCTCAATACGTATAATTCAGAAATCCCTTGGAGGGCAGGTTGGAGACTCCTGCTCTAGTGTCAATATGGAACATTCGAAAATAGAGCTATTCACTTCTTGTCATTTTCAATATCTTTTTAGTAACTTTTCTTCACAAACTGCTTCTTGATTGGTGTTAAACTATCATTTATGTTTACAAAAGGTATTATCCGATCAAATTAATAAAAAATTTGAGAATCGTCCAAGCTTGTCAATGAACGAAGAGGCTGATAAAGTTGTCATGGTGTTGAGAAGTTTTATATTTTTTTGTATAAGACAGTTGTGGAAAACAAAGTACAAAAGTAAACGTACAATACTTAAGTACAATTTTGAGGTATCTGTACTTTACTTAAGTCAGTTTTACAGTGGATACTTTTTACTTTTACTTCACTACATTCGAGAGCAGGTGTCTGTACTTTCTACTACACAACATTTTAGATCTGGATCGAAAACTAAAACGTACTTTTCTTCAGGATTTGAGACCTGCTGAAATCACTGAGACTTATTTTTAGCACATTTCATTTGAGTTTGAGTTGAGTTTCCATTACAACTTTGAGCAACACAATGCACAAAAACACAAAAAAGGCCAAAAAATCAATTGAAGTACTTAAACTCAGCTAAAATCTTTATCAAAATCACTACATTTCATCCTTTAATTCACAGGTGTCAAACATGCGGCCCGAGGGCCAGATGCGGCCCTCCAACACCTTTAATCTGGCCCTTGGCTGATTTTCTACTTAAATATTTTAATTAAAATATTGTTAATTTTCTGTGGTGTTTATCACAGCAGCGTCTCCAGCGTCTCTGTACGTGGCCCCTCCCACCAGAGCAGCACAAATGAAGACTTGTCTCTTTCCAAACGCTCTTACAGGACGATCGTTTTGACTGTTGACCGTGACACCCTCATCAGAAAAATGT